GGTGGTGGGGGGTGTGCTGGGTTGGGGATGTAGTTGAAAGTGGCCATGGTCAGTGGGGTGTCCCTGCCTTTGCTTTTATTATTTACAATAAGTGTTTTTACCCGATGAGCGTTCCTTGTGTCTTATAAATTGGGATACTGAGAAAGAAGTGATATTGAGATGTGGTTTTGGCTGGGATGCATACCTTTTGGAAGATGTTTTCAGCTGCCCGTGAGCATCGGCAATTTGTCCTTTAGAGCACAAGTAACCACTACTGTACCAAATCGCCTCTGACCTTTGTATAGATCATGCCAGCTCGCATCCTATCATGTGAGTGTAAAAAAGGTGGGGGGAACACAGTGGGGGTGAAAAATAGGATTTTCACATAGATTTGTGTGAATTCAGCATACACCTTTTGTGGACTTTATTCTCACCTTACACTTTTGGTGGACTGTTAACCACAGTTTTTGCAGCGCTTTATAATATAAAGGGAGTCAATCCATTTACAATACAATTCAAGAGAAGAGGGTTGAGGACACTGCTGAGCCATGAGAGATTACAATCTTACCTTTCCAGCCTCGTGATTGGACCGTGGGAAAAAAACAAAAACCCTGAAACGTTATCTTGCAGAAACTTCTGCTCTAAGATAACCACATGCCATGGCATTGGTCACATGATCTCAACTGAAGAAGTTTAGGGAGCTCAGTATGCCTTTACCGAACCTTACATGACCATTATCTTAGTATTTGGTCATGTGGCCAGTTATGACATGTTGTTGCAGTTTTTGCAAGACATGTATGTCAGGTTTTTTTTTTTTTACATCATTAAGGGCAAACCTGCAGCATATATAAAAGTTATAATCTCAGGGAATAACCTGGAGTTGGTCGTACACAGGCTAGAAAATGGAAGGAAGAGGAGCATGCATCAACTAAAAGGATTATTCAGCTTTATGCAGATACCTGTGCCAGAAGGCCTTGATGCATTTCGCACTTAACGGTGCTTAATCATGAGGCTGAATATGGACCATTAGGCGCACAATCATTCTGTATCTGTGCATATACATAAAATAAACCTTTCTACTGCTGAATACTTCTCTGTTGATCATATTGCAGCCTAGGAAAGGCTGTGGTTCTGTGGAGCAGTGTTGAATGGATTGTTACCAGTTAGCAGCACTATTTTCAAAGAATGTTTGTCCGTACATACCTTGTGTTGCAGCTTTCACTGGGAGCCCCAAAAGCTGGGATACTTTATTGAGCAAGTAGTGACTTCAGCTCTACTCAGAGATCTGGTCTGCCCCCTCTTAAACTTTAGCATTGCCCAAAGCTATGATAACCAGCCTAACTAATCCTGACACTAGAAGGGCCAGAATCCATCTTCGGAACCAAAGTTACCAGCTGGATAACAGGGCATTCTGAGTTTCTGGGCTCCCAGGGTGTCATAGTAAGGTAACTCCAGGCAAAAGTGCAAGCACATTATCCCTGCTCTTGGTTTACGTCAAGTATGTTTTTTAACTTATAGGCCCACTTTAAATTCAAGGGCGCTATAAATATTGAAATACTTTAGTGGCTTTAATGAAGCAGGAAGGCAGGGTGTTATTTCCCTATAGGTGTATTTTCAGTGAGCAAACATTTTTAAAGTAACCCTGCCAGCACAGGGCCACTTGTAAAGAATAATATACTATACAGTACTTGTAATAAAAGAGGCTCCATACTTACCCATTACTATAAAATGACTCACATGCAGCTGCATATATTCCACTCTTTCAGGCATGTATAATATTAGCTACCCCCCTACATTCTGTGATTTCTCCTGCTGAATCATATGTCACTACAAGACATATGAGCAGGAACTACTGAGAGCAGTGGGGGAAACAGGTATTTGACCCATCCAGCAGGCAGCTGCAGCAGCCAGTGATCACCAAAGAGGTGAAATGTCAACATTTGGGCCGCAGTAAGCGGTACGTATAGAGCCTCTTATTATAGGTATGTACATTTTTTTTTACAAGTGACACTTCAGTTTTTGGTAGATTCTGGACAGTTAAATTATGTCATCAGTTGCATTTATCTCTCATGAATTTCAGAGGTTAGATTTCTGTACTTTGAGTTCCAGGGTCGGCACAAACATTGGAAGTCTAATAATGGAGGCTTACTCACACTTTTGGATTTTAACATTTTATATTATGGCGAATATAACATTAGATGCTGGTACATGTACAGGTTAGCAGGAAATACCAAATCACCCAGGTAGGCAGGGACAGTCGGGCATCATGGCAAGGAGATCTTGCTGCTGAAACACCCTAGGGCTGTCCAGTGAAGCTCAAACATAAATAAATGATTGCAGGGGAATACTACAGTGTGGCATTTGAGTTACAGCTTCGAGGCTTCCTGGGACTGCTGATGTCACATCCAAGATGGCAGCACAGAGCAGCAGTCCAATGCTTGTTCATAATTAAAATGATATCATCATCAATAATTACAGGGAGAGTAAATGTAGAAAACAAGGTAAGTTGACATAATATTGTGGGAAGATTTTACCTGAAAACACTTGACATCAGCCATGGGCTAGTATAGGTGTAGTGCGAGTCCCTTAAAGGCTTCTTATTTGTGAAATATCTAAATACTCATGTCAAAACCAACATAAAGACAGGCCTTTTTTACAACGATCTTAATCACGTAGGGCGACCATCTTGGAAATCCATTCAGCTACAAAAGCAGCCAAGTATTAAAAAAGCCTTTTTTGCTTCAGCATCTTTTTCAAGTTACAATGTGTTATGCAAAAAAACAGCCAATGATACTGGGCTGCACAACAATGTAGTTAACTAATAATCGTAAAACACAGTTCTGGATACACAGGACCTAAGAAAATTGTCAAACTTTATTACGTCACTAATTAGGACTTACATTTGTCATATATTGATAATATATTACATAAACAGTCTTTTACAAATTCAAGGCAGAACCTATCGGTCCTTTGGATGTTCTTTCTTCATTTGTCTTCTACGATATCTGAAAAGGAAGATCGTAAATGTTTTAAGAAGATGCAAAAATTAAAAAAAAGGCATAGTAATACTAAATGATAATCTTATAATTGGTTATCAATTTTTCAATAATGACAAAATCATTTCTTTAGAAGCCTTTTCAGAAGAGATATTGAGGAACAATCAGCTTGCATGGGCATGCATCAATGGGCAAATGCAGCTTGCTTTCAGATGCATTTCACTTTCATTTGAGAGCAGTGTGGGATGCTCCAGAAATCATTCCTAGTTCACTGACCGGAGCATTTGAGCTCCTTCAAACTGTCTTTGCATTTCTATTATGTTTCATGGTGAGAGAAGCAGTTCTGACTTGAACAAAACCATACAGGTGCTATCAAATTCAAAGATCAATGCATCCACAAAGATTACTGTTTTTTTAAACAAGCTACTAAGTAAATGTACGTTTTAGAACAGCGTTACATAGCATTGTGCTTTTACATGGCTCCGCGTTTGTACACGTCTAAAATTCTGCTTGTTCCTTGGTCTCCCTATTGAAAAAGTACCATAACTACTACCAGACCCTCGCAATACTCAATATTGCCAGGGCCTGGCTTTCTCCGACCCTTAATTCTGAGGCAGTAAAGTAGAACAGAAAAAAAGGTAGAATTGGCATGGTTTTAACTTACTGTCCTACAGGGTACCATCGGTGCTTTGTGGTATAGAACATTTTACTGAGTTCTTCCATAGTTGGTTCCCTTTTTGAAGTTATGTCAATCAGTCTGGCTTTTAAGACCTGATCATGAGATTCCTCATGGTTCTCTACTGGGTCTCGTCTAGGAAGAGGCTGAACAAAACAGTGGTTACAAATTCGGCGAGATTAGAGTTTCTAAAAATGCAGTTTTCACAGACTACTTATACCCTATAGTGCATGCACAACACAGAAAATGTTGACAATGCTGTTATATTAAAATACAACTAAATGATCCTACATGACAGCCTAAACAAGTCCTAAATCCAGTTACTATGTGATGCACAAGTCTCAAAGTAAACTTCCTTTACCCCCTGACTGAGCGTAAACCTTCATTTTTGTCTCAAATGCTCCGTCTCACAGAAACTGCAGCTCACAGTTGGAGGATTTCAGTAACAGAAGCAGTGCTGTCAATCCAGAAAACTGTGAGCAGGACTAGGTGTGACCAGGTGCTGACTGACAAGTTACATGCTTTGAATCAGCAGTTACGATAGCCTAATATGGATTGCACAAATGGCATTTCAGACAGAACTATTTCCTGTACCTTATGCAGTAAAAGTCATAAGAAAGAACTGTACGCTGGTATGGCCATTTCTATACTTGTATCAGCAACTGTAGACTAAGGCTTGCTCACTTCAACTGTGTGGAGCAACATATCTGCAGTGCTGTGGAATATATTTTATCACCTTATTAGATAATACCACTTCAAAAATTGCAACTCTATGGCAGCTCTGGCAATGGTATGATATAGAAGCAGAAGGCAAATCATTTCTTAAACATCTCCTTCTCTTCTAAATGGTAGAACATTTATCTTATATATACAGAACCTGCTAATGAGGTAGCTCAGTCTTAGTACTTTAGCCAGCTACCATCCTTGCTTCTCAGTCTGCATGAGATCCTACTAGAGCATTGGATTGGATAGAGCAATGCCATACAACACATCCAATCCTGTGCTAGTCCCTGATTAGGTTAAAACCTGCCCCTTCCCATGAATCCGTATTGCCTTTCCCCACTATGTGATGACTGGTATAAAAAAGCTGCACCCAAAGTTCACACATACGGAGGAAGTGTAGTTTCTACCACATGAGAAGGGCTGACCGTTCATACATTAGCCGGTTATGAACTATATAAAATAGAAGTTATATAAATCAAAGGAGAAAAATGGGATTAGTGAAATACACTTAGAGCTGACGCATGAAACTGAAGCTGTCACACGTTAGCTTTATTGATTGAGAACTGAACGATCACATACCAATGATCGCTCAAGTCCCGATCTTCTTCATGCAAAGAGAGGACTGTCATTTACTGCTACCTGCAGAAATTACCCAGTTTCCTCTCTGTTCTTCCAGCGCTGACTGGAGGGACTGACTGGAGAGGGGGCAGGCACTGCTGACTGACTCGAGAGGCAGAGCCAGCTGTCAATCAGGCAGTGGGGTGGATCCTGACAATATTGTCAAGATCTTTCCCGGCTGCAGGGCGGCTCTGTGCTGTCAGCCCGCTATATGCCGAGTTTTGGGTCACAAGAGGGCATTAGTAAATGTCCTCCTGTGACCCTAAAGAGAACTACAGCCAAAAAAAGCTTAAGCTTTAGTTCTCTTTTAAAAGAACATATAAATATGTACATGCATAAACAACACAGTCATGATGTGTGACATGTCTTACTTTGGTATGTTCATATGGAATATCCACAGAAGGATGGTAGCAGACAATAGTCTTCCCATCAGAAGTCATGGCCAATTCCACTTTACTAAATCAGGAGAATAATAAAAAAAACAAAAACATAAATCAATATGAAAACAATGTCAAAGCCCATACAACAATACATAACAACTAAGTGTAGTACTCTGAGCTTATGTTTGTCACATACACATCAGTACTACTACTACTACAACTAATAAAGTGACACTAAACTCAGGAGTTAAATCTTGAAAATGCAAGTCCCTTAACTATTAACAATACTGGACCTTATTTGTGTATCACTCATCTGTAGATCCTCAAATCATCTCTGAATTGGTGCTGACATTGTTCTTCCCTCTGGAGGGTGGCTACTTTTGTTCCCCATGGTCCCTGTGTGTGTGTTGTAAAGCAGTCACCGCTCCAAGCTCACTCCTGTGATGGACTACAATCACAATACAAAAAAGAGATTGTAGTCCATCATGGGAGTGAGCTTGGAATGGTGGATACTTTCAACACACACATGGACCATGGGGAACACAGTAGCCACCCCCCAGAAGGAAGGACAGTGTCAGTACAAATTCAGAGATGATTTGAGGATTTACAGCCCAGTGATACACAAATAAGATACATTTAATGTTAATAGTTAAGGCACTTGAATACATTTTTAAGAGTTTAGTTTCACTTTAAAAAAGGAGAACTATGGGGTTAAGGCTTTTCCCCATAGTTCTCCTTGGGTAACGGGAGGACACAAACTAGCGTCCTCCCGTCACCCTATTCTCAGTATATATACTGAGACGCCGCAGCTGAAGCGGATCCCGACAATTATGTCTGGATCCGCCCAGCTGCGTGACTGACAGCTGGCTCAGGCAGAGCCAGCTGTACCTGCCCCTTCCCCATCCGTTCCACCAGTCAGTGCTGGCGGAGCGGGGGGAATCCAGCCCCTCCCCTGTCACAGCAGAGAGCTGTGACAGGATCGAGAAGTGAGCGAACGCCGGTATGTGTTCGCTCGCTTCCCGATCTACTGAGCCGACCTGTGACAGTCTCATCGTCACAGGTCGGCTAGAACTAGGAGGTGAGTGAAAAGCACTCACCTCATAGTTCTCCTTTAATAATTCTCTGGCTATTTTCTGAAAAATCAAAATTACCATCATACATATGGTAATGCAGGTTTTCACCTAACATCAAAAGCAGAGAAAATGTAGGAGTTTCGTGTATTGATTAAAGATGAAGTTTACCGACACCATCATGAAGAAAGCTTAGGTGTCAGAAAATATATTACCATCTAAGGCTGCATTTATCTTTGGAACCTTCTGCAATGTGAGGTTTCTCAACAGCTTTTCACCTACCAAGTAAATTTAACTAAGGGCAATTAAACTACAATGATTTGGATCAATTTTACCCAGTTGACATCCGCTCTGTTAAACCCCCTTCCTGTCCAGGCCATTTGTCAGTATTCAGTGCTCGGTACTTTGACTGACATTTATTCCATCATGCAGCGCTGTACTGAAATTAATTTTATACCATTTTTTAGGGACAGATAGAGCTTTCTTTTGGTGGTATTTATTCACCACTGAGGTTTTTATTTTTTACTATATTAAAAAGGAAAAATTACCAACATTTTACAAAAAAAACCCAACTGTTTCCCCTATATTAAATGATAAAACATTTATTAACGGCAACGGGTGTTTGCATTGCACGGGTCTTTCCTGCCCGTGCGCACCCACTAGGGGGAGCGCGCAAGCAGAAAAAAATGCCGCCTGGAGACGGCAACCTGCCAATGCAGCAGTACCGTCCGTTTTTTTTACAACGGGCGGACAGCATCTGGTTAAAACTATAAAACTATGACAGCAGTTTCAAGATGGCAGTGCAGAAGCAGAGTGGCGAAGGAGAATTTCAGCTGCAAGGAAAACAATGCTGTGGACTCCATGGACTTTGTTTTATTATTATACTAGGACACTTGTTAGAGAGACTGTATTTAGCTTTGCACAGGTATGATGAAGCTCTTGTTGAAGGACACTTCACAGCTTGTACAATGAAATTACATACCAGTTGTAGTCATCAGGAAGAGCTGAATAGGTCGATTTTCCACAATGTAAACTGTGATCTGGGAAGTGAAAAATAATTGACAAGTTGATGTTCTATTGATATCACCAGGTTTTTTTAAGCAATAGATATGTAGGCAATGGCATCATATTTCAATATTTTCACCATGTAAACCTAGATCTGTGGAGCAAAACCACACATCTCGGGTGCAATTCAAAATTAAGGCCTCATTCACACATCAAAAAGCCAGCACGTACAGCTCCGTGCACGGCCATATCGGGCAGCTCCCGGGAAGGACAGGTGCTGCGTGTGATTAGTATGCAGCCCCTGTCCTTCTCTATGGGAGTATGCGGCCGTACCTCACCCTACGCTCACACGCCCTGCATGTCCGTGTGGGTGTCCGTACTCGTACGCTGACAGGATGGATCCTGTCAGCGTACAGCGTGAATGCTCGCCGAACGTGCATTAAAACGTTTGCTTTGGCACGTGTTGACGGAACACACAGATATGAATGGGGTCTGATGCTGCCAGGCCTAGATCAGCGTAAGGCATTTTACTTGCAAACACACAATGCTATGTGCCCTACCTACACCTCCCGGTTTGTAATCAGTGCTCTATGTCATTGAATGTCCCATGTTAAAGGGCATGCATGCTGACAGAAGGTCAGATAGTGACAGCTGGTGACTGTGACCTCCAAGCAGGGATGTTGGTTTCTAATATTAAAAAAAAAAAAAAAAAGCTGGGCCATAGAAGAGTACAATAACCTGGCCGTGCACACATAGAAGGTTGCGGTGTTCATTGCTGTATGAAGGTCACTCAGACACCGTAAGCTCACGACCATGTCTTATCTCACCTCCGCCTTGCCCGGCGCTTCCTCTACCCAATGTCCCCAGCAGGGAACAGCGCACTGCCCGCAAACCGCAAAACACTTCCCTGCAACCTTTCAGTACTGTAGCCGCCATGATGTTGACAGGCGGAGGAAGCGGAAACCGTACCTTAAAGCTTATCCGGGTCAGGAGTGGGTCATTCAATACATTCTCAACAATTATGAGAGCAATGGGTGGAGAAAAACAGCCGCGTCCTTGTGTGCGCACAGCCTGCCGTTGCACTCGGTTACCATGGCGACGTGTACACTTCCGCTTTCCGCCAATCCATCTATTACTCATACAGCTCATTGAATGAGAGCCTCCTATCAATGATTTATTTCCATGCACATGTCCCGCCAACTACACCCCATGAATATTTGTGTTTTGAGCAGGAAATGGGTAGAATCCTGTTAGATTTGTGCCTCCCTGTCTGTATCCCACAGTGGGTGTGAGAGAGGTTTCTTTAACCACTTGCTGACCGCGGTGTTAAACCCCCTTCCTGTCCAGACCATTTTTCAGTATTCAGCGATGTGGTACTTTGACATTTATTCAGTCATGTAACCCTGTACTGAAATGCATTTTATACCATTTTTTGGGGACAGATAGAGCTTTCTTTTGGTGGTACTTTTACTATATAATGAAAAAAGATCCAACAATTTTGAAAAAAAAAAACCCCGTTTCCCCTACATTATGTTATACAACATTTATTATTACCCATTTTTTTGGTAAAATATTAAAGGAGAACAATGGGGTTAAGTCTTTTCCCCATAGTTCTCCTTAGGGTAACGGGAGGACACAAACTAGCGTCCTCCCGTCACCCTAGGCTCAGTATACAGCTCGCGGAAACAAATGCCGGTATGCGTTCGCTCACCTCCCGAGCTACTGAGCCGACCTGTGACAGTCTCATTGTCACAGGTCGGCTAGAACAGCACTCACCTCATAGTTCTCCTTTAAAGATGGGGTCACGTTGGGTAAATAGACACTGAACATGTCAAGCTTTAAAATTGCGTGCGCCCGCAAAATCGCAAAAAAATACCATTCCTAAATTTGGCCTTAGGCAAAGCTTTTACCGCTCATCAGTTTAGTGTTATCAGTGATTGACGGCCCTTAACCCCTTCGTGACTGACGACGTACAGTGTACGTCGCCAGCATCGGGGCTGTTTAAACAGACTCCCGGCGAATGTAATCGTTGTTTTCGCACATAGGCGTACCCAACGTGTATTTACGTTTATAAGTGTGGGGGACTCAAAATCGCAAAAAATTAACTCACCCAAAATTGGCCTTAGGCAATGTTTTAAAAGCTTTTACCACTCATCCGTTTAGTGTTATCAGTGATTAATGGCGGTGATATGTAACATGTGTGCACAATAGGCGCAATTGTTGTTTTCACACGTAGGCGCATCTGATGCATGTTTGCGCGTGTATTTGGGGAGCGGGGAACTTGAACATTTTTTTTGTTTTAAAAAAAAAAAATGTTTATTATGCTTCTTATTTTTTGTATGTTTGAATTTTTTTTTAAACTTTTTTTTTATACACTTAACCCTATTGCTATCACATAAGGGCTATAAAGCTCCCTATGTGATAGCCAATTTAGATGACAGGTCCTCTTTATGGAGACATCATGGGTCTCCAAGACCCCTAATGTCACCTAGGGACACCAAGAGAAGCTAATGAAGCAGAGATCTGCTTCACCAGCTTTTCACCGGCTTCTGTAGTTGGGAATAACAGCTGAATGTGGAATTGATTTAATATACATCACTTCCTGCATCCAGGCACCAGACAGGAGATCAGAGGAAGAGTGTGTACTGAACTCCTTTTGATTCCCCGGTGACAGAGTCGCCATGCTGGTCCCAGACCGCACTGGGCGCTGCGGATCTCGGGACAGGCGATGGTGGCTTTGGTGGGCGCATGACCCGCACCTAATACAAGCGATCGGGCATCTTTTCTCCACTCGTGTGCGCGCTGGGTGCCGTGCATGAGTGGGGGCAGAGAGGGTAATTTTAAGATGTCCACCCGTTCCTATAAGGCTCCTGTCTGGCCGTTAAGGCACGGCCAATGGACGGGAGGTGGTTAATAAATAAACACACTACACATTTTTGCAAAGACCTTTATTAATAAAACCCTCCCCTCAAAAAAGTCCCATGTAAGTCCCAAAAGTCCCTTTGTCAATCATGTCATTCAGTGTCAGGAGTGCCAATGGTTTGGCAGAAGAACAAAGTGGAACTCACTGGCAGGAAATGGCCTGAAGCGTCCGAAGGCAGAGGTACAAAAGGGTTAATCCAAAGAGAAGTCAAGTCCAATCCGAGTCGAGGGAGGCAGCAAAGGTTCAGGGGCGAAAGGCAGTCCAAGGTCGGCAACAGGAGGTCTAGATAAAGGGGGTCAGGAAACAAAGCAAGGCACATGTACAGGGAGCTAGGAAATCACACCACAGGATGAGATAACTCAGCAACAAGCCAGAGCTCTGGCCAGGTTTTTATAGCCAGGGGGTGTAAGTCCGCCCCCCTGTCACCGAGGCAACTAGGAGGCTTCTAATCACAAGAGCCAATGGCAGGCGAGAGGTGGTATGGGTGTGTACGGGAACCTCCCCCAGCTAGGTCCACACCTGAGGCCTAAACAGGTGCAGGCACACTATGCACATGCTCCCGGGGATGCGCGCACAGCCTGCGTACTGCGCATGCGCACCTGCCGCACGACTCGCGCATGCGCACCTGCAACCCGGGCGCCAGTGGTTCTGCCAGGCTGGAGGGAGACCCGTACCCTGCGCCGTGCCCGCTGACCCTGTGGGGAGGTGACACCCCTGGTTTCCTGACATCCTGCGATGTAGATCCTTAACAATCATGATGTCTGCTGCTTGCTGACCTGATGAAGGAAAAAAACATTGTCACCCGCCGCTTCATCAGCATTCGCTGAACACTCAGTACTAATGACAGCTCTGTTCCTGTATGTAAATAAAGAGATGGAGCAAGTCAATGCCGTCACAGTCATGGACTTGCTCCACCCCTTTGTTTACATTCAGGAGCAGAGCTGTCATTAGCGCCGAGTGTTCGTCTAATGCGGATGAAGCGGAGGGCGACAGGTTTTTTTTTCCGTCAATGGGTCGGCGTCGTGATCTGCCCTTTTTTTACATTTAGGAGCATAGCTGTCATTAATGATGAGTGTCCACGTAATGTCTAAGGTATGCTCTAGGCTGTGCACAACCTTTCCTCTAGTTGTGGTCAAACTAAACTAACTTGTGTCCGAGGCCTACTTGGCATCAATATAAGTGTCAGAGTTTCTTACCTTTCCTTGTGCAGTTGCTTGCACCATGGCTTGTGCAGTGTTTCTGACACTGTTATTCCTCTTTGGTGCTATCTTATGACCAAACCCGTTAACAGCATCATTCTGCAACTACTGGCAAAATACCTGACAACACCAGTTCACTATTTAACCATCAGCTTGTCCATTCAGTCTCTGCCCTTGAGTGTGTTTTGATCTACCAAGTGCTCTGCAGCTGTTCCTGTTCTCTGTGTATGACTGTGGCTCTGGCTGACTGATCTCCTGGTTCCCGACTCTGGCTATTGTTTCCATTCATCTTGCTCACAGTATTCTTTGACCTGGTTCGGCTGACTACCCGGTTTGGCATCTGACCCATGGCTTGTCACTGATGATGTCCTGGGCTTTGTCCATTGTTTTTTGCAATTTATGTTTACAGTTGATTCCAATAAACTCATTATAGTTTTTTAAATCTGCACTTTAAGTTTCCGTCTGGTTTCTTGGTTCCCTAACAATGAGTTACACCTGAGATATGCCATTCTTTTTGACTAGGTAAGGCAAACGCATTAGAAAGTTACTAATCCATTTGGAAGTTTTCTACTTTGCTAAATCGGGATTAGAACGTTGATCACATACTCTACAATGAGGTTTGTATGGAGACATCTCTGACCCAGATATGATGGATCATTCTGCTTGCAACTTCTGCTTCAGTCAACGCTAAAGTAAAGCTGATTTGCATTGTTGTATCATGCTCTAAGATTATTGCTCCATCAAAGTCCAAGCTGAGTATGAGGACCTGTAAGACAACACAAAACTTCCATGCAGGAAGTTAAAAGTGCAGGTGGTTTAAAGGCAGCCTTGTAATAAGTCATGTTTTGCTTATCTTATGGAAACCAACAGGCCCAATATGAGGTTCCTACTCCACAAAAAAATGCGGGCTCCTCTGGTTAAAGAGGAGCTATGCCTCAACATATGTCAGATCAGTGTATATATCATTTGACCTTTTGTGTTGCTTCTTATATTTATTTTGCTTCCATCATGATAATCATCATATTACATAATATGAGCTTGACCTGGAAAAAAAACGGTTGAAGCTGCCCTTGACCACTCTGCCAAGAAGTTTTATAAAGGTTGCTGTTGACTGTGTAGTCATGTTCCAATTACAATTGGGGTATTCCAATGATAAGCATTCTCCTAAATGCATTTTTTTGCCTTAATGCATTTTTTTTTAGCTTTCAGTTATTTTTTTTTTGTAAATCTTTATTTAAAAAAATTTCAGGAATGATAAGGACATACAAGAAGTGTAAGAGAAACAAAACATTGTGGCACATTCTAGAGATACATCCTCATATAGGGAGAAAAGGGTTAGATGTCACGTAATGGCTTCCACAACATTTATTCTAGTCGTGGTGGAGATCCGCAGTCAATTCCTCCATAATACGCATTTCATCAATCTTGCACAACCATAGGTGGAGAGGTGGTGGGTCTAAACGATTCCAGTAGAGGGGTATTCATGCTCTGGCGGCATTAACCAAGTGGATTAGTAAGGAATTGCGATATTTAGTTTTAGACATTGGCGCGAGATGCAGAAGCAGCGCTGCAGGATCTCCCATCAAGGATATCACGGTCAGACGCTCAATCACCGTCAGCACTGCGCCCCAAAACTGTCGAATGCGCGAGCAGAACCAGAAGACATGGAGCATCGTTCCGTTCTCCTGATTGCATCGCCAGCACACTGGTGGCGTGTGAAGAAACATCCTGTGAAGGGTGGTCGGTACATAATACCATCTAGTGGGGATTTTGTATCCCGTTTCCTGTACCACACTGCTAATAGAGGCCTTGTG